GAACCTTATTGGTTTCCCTTTCATAAACATTTTGCATGAGTGCGTGCCGTAATAGGAAATCATCTGCTCATCGATGGATAAGTTATGCGTAAAGACACCAAACTGCATGAATCGATCGTTCAAAATTTTGTTCAAGAGTGATATTTTTGCAAACTTGTCAGCCTTATCCAGATTTATGTTATCGCATACATGAATAAATGATTTTACTAGTTTGAATCTTGTGCGGCTCATGGCATCTTTGATACACATATTTCCAACAGATTTCCGAGTTGCCCAATAAGCGTTCATGTTGGGCAAACGATTGTACCCAGTGATATACAATATGCCAATAAATGTTTGCATTTCCTCTGCCGTTACAATGAAATTGACAGCGTTACGTTCATGTGCATATTGATTAGCATGATCGGTAATAAGCTTCAGCACTTCATCATCTACAAAGCATTTCCATAGTTCAGCTGGGGAAAACTCGCCTGAATTAATAATGTTAAGAATAGAAAAGAAAATAAGTATTTTATATTTTAATATTTATCACTCACCTATTTTTGAGTGCAACTTTTTATATGCCACTGCTGAAGTATCAACAGGCAATTTTTCGAATTTCGGTACGCGTTTAGTCCATTTCAAAGATGGAGCCGTGGAAGTTGGATCTAGTCGAGAACGCTTTGGTGGTGGTGGCATATTCTCCTCATTCTCAACGTTATCTATTGAACATTGCGGATTGCCATCATTTTCTTGAAATTCTAGCTCAAAAGTACCTGCTACTTCCCCAGGCAATGCAAAGTTATTATTTTCATTCATGTCTATAATATTTTCATCTAGCTCCTCTTCATCGCTGACTTCTTCCACTGGCGGTGGATTAACAATTACATCGATTGCATCGGCGTTTGAATCACAATTCTCATCATCATTGCACCAAGCGTCCAATACAGCCTCTAGCTTCGCTTGCGTTAAACAGTTACGGCGACGAATTATTTTACACGCACAAGTGGAAACCATTTAACAACTGACAAAATACGGCAAATATCTGCGACAGACTAGCTTACATTGCAAAGAAAATTTAACAGTAATTTCAAAAACAGGAAAATGTGTATATTTTTTTGTCAAACGCAAATAATTGCAAAAAAGTTAATCAGCTGTCCCACTGCTGTTTCTTGCTCTTTGCTCTGCACTCTGAGTCTGAATGTTAGCTAAGCTAGCTTTTTCAATTTTTCCTAATAAACAATCGTGGTACAAAGCTCAATATAAAAATATTTAAAATAAAATGTTAACAAGCCACAATAACATTGACAAATACATAGTTTAGGAAGAGCTTGCCTGAAACTATACAAAAAATCAAATAAGCAAATGGATGTATAGAATTGACAACAACAACCACGCTGTCGAGTTTAAATAGCGGCAAATCAGCTGCACTTGATAGTAGTTGGTTGAATAAGGAAAAATGAATTTAGCAACAAGAGTTTACGGGATGTACATAGCTCAGTGGTTAACGCTTCTGACTTTGAACATCGAATAAGCAG